TCGGTGGCGCTGCCCGACTCACTAGTCTCATCACCTGAAGTCAATGCCCTGCCAGCATGTGCACTCTTCGAGCGGCGCTTCACTGTAAAAAGTCGACAGCCAAAAATTTGTTAGTGTGTGGAGTAGAGTGTGCGCGAGTAAGTTTTAAATGCAATAGTGCCACAATGCATGGCCTTTATTTCTTTTGCACACTCGATTTTTATTTGGTTGCTTTATATTTGTACTTTTTTGTGACTTTTGAATTGTTTATATTGGCCTTTAGCCTAAATTGAAAGTAACACACTGCACGATTGCGATATTCGCAACACTTGCAGTTAGACCTTGCAACAGAATCGCAGCACAGCTCAGCAACAGACCTCTAACAACTGATTTACCGGTGCGCTACTCTTGCTATCTACCGCCTGTTCCCCTTGGCCACCAATTGCTTTTTAATTGAGTTCATGGACTTGTCGCGCCATCACACTTTAGTGAATGGATTCATTTTGCTTACCCAGCGCTTTAAAAAAGTGAGAGAACGAAAAATTTATCGACTTAGGGGCAATCACAGACAGCGCAAATAAAAACATTTACATAAACAAGTCAAATTAGAAATAGCGAAATTGGATTGCTCTATGACACATCGCTAATGATTTATGCATAGTCAAGAAAGGTAAGACCCGAACTGGAATAAGGATCGTCTGAATAACGTACACATGCGTCTCTCCATTAGATTGGACTTTCTGGAACGTTTTCCGAAAACACACATATTTTCACACGAGAAATGTGAGATTGCGAATGAATTTTTTTGTAATAGATCCTGTTGGGCATATATGGAATCTTTGTACCAAAGAAAATTACAAAATCGACCGTAATTTTCTGAATTTCGGACAAAAAAATACAAATAAATCTTCTCTTTTTCTTCCGTGTCGTCATCATGTTCGCTAGTTGCTGGTAAAAGCTGTATTCCAGCCAAATTACGGAAACAAGATCGCTATCAGAAGTTCCTCTCTTCAATCGCAGTGAGTGGAAGTAATATTTGCTAGATTTTATATGGAAGAAAACCCCAACACTTGTAAAAAATCAACGGTTATTTGTAGGCACTTGAAGCGTGCATATTATTGTATTAAAATGGAGAGGGTTATAGAACTCTATATTCAAGAAAATTCTAACGATTCTGAGAACAAGTTTAAAATTTGGACGAATTTTTTTTAGTTTTTAACAAAGTTTTAAACTTTGTTTTGTATGGGTTTTGTTATAGAATGAACTGTATTTCAATTAAACATTCTTAAAATAATAAATAAACAAGAGTCGGAGCAAAAACACCTTTTAAATTGGTGTGCTAATGATATGGCCGATACTGTATTCGTCAGGAACTTAGGGTTATTACTAATTTTTCTAAATTTTTTAGGTGTTAAGCTAAATTTAGATCGTTCATTGATCTTTGTTTTCAGGATCCCCTTTCCTTTTGCTTTAATTTTATTTTATTTGATTTAGTTTCTCAATAGATATTTTTAGTTGCAAATTGCAATGGAAAGTCAGCTTTTGGTAAACAGTTTTTTTACGCGAATGAACAACCAAGTAAATACATTTATTATCCGACACTTTTGAATAAATCTAAAATACTTCTAATTTTGAAATTAGGAAAAAGGTATACAAATTTTGCTTTTGAAAAATAAATTTTGCATTGGGATGCAATTTTCCCCAGTGTGTCGTCCACATTAAAAAGAGTAGATGTGTCTACCGAAGGTTATGATCGGTAATTGGGCTTGCCAGACCTAAACTTCCGAAAGTGGTACAGATAAGAACCAATTGGGTGACTTGGGGAACAAATAAAACTAAATGCGTTCAACAACAAATTGATTTATTCGCTTATGGAACAGCAAAACCGGTCGAAAAAAATGCAATATCATTTGAACAAAACAAAGTTACACTGGGTATCAAAACTGAGTGCATGGTGATTTTATTTTAAATATTTACAATGTTTTTCAAGTAAAACGTTTTGTTATATTTTATAAAAATATTATTCCTGCTTTAGCCAAAACCATAAAATTGATTTAAACTTTCAAACTTAATACAAACCCTAGAAAAATGCAACAAATTTCCATAAAAATTTTGGACTTTTTAATCTGAATTCTTGGATATGCAGTTACATGGCTCAAGTTTTACTCTACACTAATGTCAAATCATTGGGAAGGAGTTTTCGAGAATTCTCTGCCAAGGAAACAAGGGCATAACAGTATCTCCTCGTAACACATGATGACTCATACTGTTCAGGGACTCGTATCAAAGTAGGTAACTAAAATCTGAACTTGAGCCATGCTTACCAAATATCTGCATACATATTAGGGCGGGTTGATTTGTATGGATGAAAAAAAAAAATTAAAAATTGTATAGCAAAAACATAATCTACATTAAATTCTAAGAAAATTCTCTGAAGAAACCATGGGTCTAAAATCAAACCCTAATTCGCGCCTCTCGACTTGAAAATTTTTTTCCTCTTCTTTCGCTAAAATTATTTTCCTTTTTTGAAATATATTATGTATTATTATATTATATTATAGTTTATGCAATACAGGTGAGACTAATCAAAATATTCAATTATCAAAAAACCAGTTGAACCCCAATTTGCATCTCCTCTGATTTGCGTTCTATATAAAAAATAGTTAGAACACGTTTAATGAAAAAAAATTTGAGTGTAGAAAAAATATAAAGTGCAAAAGAACTACCTTACTAAACAATTTTATTCAGAAAAATCGATTTCTTTTTGGAAAAACCTATTTTTTCTAACATTTATTTTAGATCCATGGTTTCTTCGGAGAATTTTCTTAGAATTTTATGTAGTTTACGTTTTTGCTATACGATTTAAAAAATAAATCAACCCGCCCTAATACATATACATATAGAAACTAATAAAGCCAACTGGTTAAAAATATTGCAAATAGAAGCTTAAAAATTTAATTTGCGCTATGCGCACTCAATTTCTCTACCATGTTTCGCCTACTCATGCCACATCTTGTTAACACTGCTTGTTGCAATTTTCTTTTACTCCGCCTGCCATATCATATCTTCATCTAGTTACGTATGTATGTATGTATGTATGTATTTCATGTCACTTCTTAGCATTGCTGCGCCCACTTACAATTGCTCACAAGCGGTTTTTGTTGTCCATTCACGCCCACGCCACCAATTCGATTGATGTTACCATTAATGCCACAATTATTGTTGTTTTCCGCATTTTCCTGCATATCCATTTGATAGCGCTGCGCTAGACCAGCTGATGCCGGACGCGCAATATTTGAGCCGCGATAACCGAAACGCGACGCTACACCAGGCAGATTCGCTGGCTGGCCGGCGGCACCTGCGTTCGCGGTGCTTTGATTAGATCGTTGTGTAGTTGCGGCTGCCGCACCCATTTTCTCAAAATGTACTTTCGCCAGGAGCTCTGTATCTTTTTGGGCGAATAATTGCGGTGGCCATTGGAGAGAGAAGGCAATAGAAAACGTCAAAGAGGAGCAAGTTTTTGGCATGTCAGACAGTCATAATAAACCGATGTGAATCAAGTAAATAAATATAATAAAGTAAACAACGTAAAACTCTATCAACGCAAATTTGTTATGTATATGCAAACATACATACATATGCATATATGTATGTATGTGTTTTAATTGTGTTCTTAAATGTGAGCGCATGCTAATTTTCTATGATTTTTCTTTGATTTTTCGGCAAGTGTGTCGGCGATGTATGTGTTTCACAACCAAACACCTGTTGTTCGCCAAATTGACTATTTTTCGCCTGATGTGTTGCTCTGTGTGAACTGTATTGAACTTAAAAGAGTCTACGTGCATACGAATACATTTTTTTAAGTGTGTATATATGTATTTGCACGTAATGTATTATTGATGCATTCCTTGACGCAGCAAAGTCATTGCACTCACCTGCATTGCCATTGTCGTCCTGCTGTTGCTCGACCTGCAATGTCTCCCCATTGCCTGTGTCATTTATCACTGCTCCCGTGTGTTCATTATCCTCACCCGAAGTGGTATTGCCATCGCGTGCCGTTGTTGTTATATTGTTGCACTTGTCTTGTTTCCTTTTTGCGTCACCGCCAGTTACACCGCCAACACCGGCTTCAAGCAACTTCTTGAATTTTTTCGGCGTTGTATTGAGTTTCTTGCGAAAGCCGAAGGACATTGCTGTACCTTTGGTCTCAATAATGCCCACTCCAGCGCCCATAGTGCCGGTGGTGTTGCCGCCATGTTTCTTTGAATGCTTTTTACTCTCGGCCTGTCCCTGTAACGAGAAAGCGCATGTGTTGTACATTTTACTTTCAAAGCGGTTTACGTAATGTGAAATATTAATTCAATTAAGTGGATTTCCACCAAGACTTTTATTGCGTGCGTTTACCAACAAGCCTATGATCATTGTCCAATCAATACATATTAGGGGTTTTACGTAAATTTTAAGTGATATTAAAAATTGTTATTAGCAGTAACTTATTAAATTAGCTTTGCAGAGTAATAAATATTTAGAGATCTAACCAAAGATCGAACCCACCTCTAAGTAGGGACACGAATTTCGATACGATACGATACCATATCGATACTTTTGGCATTCGATACCGATATTTTTTACTCGATAGTTTTAAAACGATATTTTTTGGAATCGAGTACCAGAATCCTAGTATCGTATCGAATGTCATAAACTCAAATTAGTCAGCTTTCAGACACGTCAAGTCTTGCTTTCAAGTCTGCTCGTTCCAAGGCGAAGGAGGTGAGCAGAAAGGGGAAGAGTGCAGATACCTCTCATTTAAGGAACCACGAACTTGAATTCAATAAAAGTTGACGCGTCTGGAAGCAAATAGAAAACACAAAAGAGAATGCGAAAAAATTGCTTTCAAGACTTATCTGATTATCAACTCTTCCCGATATAAATTGGGCTTTAAAGAACTGACATTTTTTACTATCGTTAGGATTGCATGTGGCGGGACTTGAACACGTGAGCTCGGTATTTTAAGTCAACACCTCAATCTCTACGTGTAAAAATAATAGATTGGCGCTTACAAAATATGTTAGCGTTTAACCGAGCTTCTCCTCCGATTTGTTGCGTGCGCCTTGATGTTGTGCCACAAAGGGCGTTTTTATGAGAAGCTGTTTTTCATGGCAGAAATACGCTCGGAGGTTTCTAATCACTCAATGGGACGCTTAAAAGTTGTTAAGACAAATTTGGGTGTGTGTTCATATTATTTACAAATTACGTCTAGCAAACTCATCATCATCATTTTTTTGTGCCGGTTAATTCCGAATCAGGTAGAAGTTAAGGCCTCATCTATTTAATAATAACTGTAGTTAGGGACACGAATTTCGTTGCGTTACCATACCATATCGATACTTTTTCCATTCGATACTGATATTTCTTTATTTGATATTTTCACAACGATACTTTATGAGATCGACTTCCCGAACCCTTGTATAGTATCGAATCTTAAATGCACATTACAAAGATAATGTGAATAATAATATATTGTGCATTATATTAATACTAGAGTACATGCGCTGCCTACTGCAGAACACCACGGTAACATTTTTGTGTTACACCTTGAGTTCCAGGAAAGCCTTTGCCATTAAATTTATGCACGTGTGAGTACCGCGCTTGGCTTCCACGCGTACGAACTTTTTGAAGTGAAACTTGTTTACCGGCGGTTGGTTGGTTGAGAGTAAATTGGCAAATTCAACGGAAATTGCACACAGAAATTGTGCAACGGAAATGGTTGGGGCTGAAACAAGTGCTTCTTGAGTGTATGCACATGGTATTGATTTAACAAAAACTTGGTAATAAAATGTTAAAGAGTAACACTTAGAAAAAGACCAATACAAGAATGAAAGTAAAGATGAGTACGTACATAGATATAGAAAGGATAAAGGCAAAGGTAAAAATCAAAATAAAACAAGTAAGAGCAGCGCTGTCTTCGGCTATGCCGAAGGCTTCATACCTTTCATGAACATCTGCAAATTTTACTTTGACAGATTACTGCTTTTGAATACATCTGCATACATCGATAGAGGAGTTACAT